GTTAAATATTTAGTTTATAAACTATGACATTTATAAATGTATGAATCACATGGCGAAAATTTGACTTTGAAAAATAAATCAGTTTTTTTACTTTTAAAAGTCTAAATAAAAAAATTTTGGTGGTAAATTTTGACTGTGTAACTTCACAAACGGCACCCCATAGCTTAGAACCCCATTTCAACTTCTTTCCTGCTCTAAAGAAACACAACTAAGWGAAATTTAAAAGGACACTTCAAAGTCATTCAGCTTGTCACTTGATCAAAAGGAATGTTTAAAAGTGGTGACGAAGCAACAAACGACGGCTGAAGAGGTGAAGAAGCACTTGAAAATTTACAGCAAAACAGTGAGCAGCTATATTTAAATTCTTTCTAACAAACTGACTATGTCTGAGTCTGAAATTTATACATTTGATGGAGCTTGGTAGAACTTTTTAAGAGGACGTATGCTGATAATCAAACAGGCTTTTAACTTTAACAATAAAACTCATAATATTCACAAATACAGAGAAGTTTGGCCACATTTTTTTCTGCATGAAATAAAAGTTATGACTGAAATATCTGAAGAAAAAGATGGATAAACCTCTCTTTATCAGGCAGATGCAACCAGCGCAGGATGGTTAAAATCCTCCTTTCAATGGGAATCACCCTGAAACACAAAACAGTTTGCAAAAAAAACAACAAAAAAACTTAAATATTCAAATGTTTTGTACATGTTGTTGGAGAATAAACTCAATTTGTGCAGTTGCAGAGTAAGTTGTATCAGATTTATAGAAAAGTAGCATAGCAGGACTGTTTTCATTATAAAACAAAATTGCAACAAAAAAGAAAAAGCTGATTATTTTGCTGTTTTTGTGCTCAAATCTTTTGACTTTTTATTCTTGCCTTTGTCGGAATGTTTTGCTTGCTTGCTTGAAAATATGTTGTATGTGGTTAACAGGAGCAAAAGTAGTTTAAAGCATCCGTTTTGATTTAACAAGGCTTCAGTAAAAACCTACTCCTGATGCGACTTAAAAATATTTTAGTACTAACTTAAGTACCAAGGCCAGAAGAAGGTTCCTGCTTTCACTCCTTGTTGTCCTGCTGTGATCCAGATCTGCAAAATATAAAAAAATGAATAAAAAAATGAGCATTACTGCTTTGAGTAAAGGTCTTCCAGAAATAATTCTAACACAGGGTTTGAGTTTGCATAAATACTCAGCAGGTAAAAAGTTAAACCAGTAACTGACAGCTGAAAACAACTTTCCTTTTTTTCAGCCGGTATAAAAAYGTGAACTGAAGGCTGGTGTTTGAACTCAACTCACCGGCTGCCCGCCCCACCAGCGGTGGTTTAATTTCTCTCTGGTGCGCAAACTGAAGGTGGCATTAAACTCTGGATCATACATGGTGTTTCCCACAATCCCATGAGACTCTGGGTACAGACCCTGCAGAGAGACCCCGCAGAGCGACATTAAGAAAGTGCACGTTAAAAATGAGTCCTACACCCGTGYCTTGATAGGAGCAGACCTGAACAAAAACTGTCCATCTTACCAAGTTTTAAAATCTYATATCAGCCAAAAAGTCTTTCTGATCTTGTTTTGAGACTGATTTACTAAACAAGAACTGATTGTGTCAGAATAATAATCTTGTCTTCAGAATGTGTAAGATTATTTGTCTTGTTAGYCTGAAAATTTGACTCAAGTTAAGTCAAACTTTTCTGCCAATGGAGTAAGAAAAAATTTACTTGGTAAGAAAAAAAAGAAAAAATTGTATAGGTCCTCTGGACGGGTTCTTCTCTAATGAAACGTTTCGTCTCTCCTCCAAGAGACTTCTTCAGTCTGAGAGTTTCAGGCAAAATTCAGGCTTTTAAGCCTGAATTTTAAGTCTCTTGGAGAAGAGACGAAACGTTTCATTAGAGAAGAACCCGTCCAGAGGACCTATAC